ATTTCTCAGAAATTTAAGCCATACATCTGCTAATGCTATTTGCACACCTTAAGTCTGCTGTGATCGGTTGGTGAGTTCCTCAAGGTAAAGCTTTGTTATTGTTGTTTTTTCCATGACGCCGATTCGGGACGTAACGTTGAAGTACATTGCTGTCTACAATTTTGGCTTGCAGCCAGCTCTCACCACAATATGACTAGCCCCCATCCTACTACTTTGACTTATGTATCTGACCTGACAGTCATTATAGCAGGGTATTAGATAAACTAAATTGTTTTGTTTAATGGGCTGTTACACATTACCCTTTAACCGACAAAGCTTGTTTCTAATTGAGTTTGTGGGTTTGAATGCTACTTTTATTCCTGCCTTGTTAAAGATTCCACGTAAGGTTTCCGAGTTTCCTTCTTTGTATGGAAGTACTACTGATGATTTAGATTCCTTATTGTTGGTGTTGTCATTATCCTGTGCATGTTTGACATGCATGTCGTCATTAATATTACTATTACTATTATCATTATTATTATCACTATCATCACTATCATTATTCATTTTATTTTTACACTTCCCTACATACTTCATGATTAATTTATCAGGGTCACTATTAAGTTTCAAAGCTTCTCTTATACATAAGAGATTGATAACAGAAGCTTTGTTTATCGAATCAACTGCAAACACACGTAATAGGAATGATTGAACACCTGTCCAGCCAGATATCTGGAAAATTCTACTACCCCAACAACGACAAATCGGAGAGAAGAAAGAAAACTATGAAACTCAAGTTCCGAAGTTGTGTGTGTGTGATTGATATAATTGATATGATTATGAACAATAATAGATTGTGTTCGAAACCTTGTCATTCAGTTAACAGTAATACTGATATGGAATTACTAAATACCACAGTGCTCAAGTTTTGCACATATATATTAATGCAGCAAATGTAACTCATTTCAAGAAATACATAATGCCATTGATAATATGTACATCAGAAGAAAAAAAGAATTTTAATGCAAAATTTCATTTAAAAAGCATACAAAAAGGTATAACTTGTTATTCAATCACCATTGCAACAGATGACGATGCAACAATTAGCTGAGGTATGCAATAAAGCCACTCTTTAGCATGGATATTGAACTAGAAAAAGGCTGATGGCATAAGACATTTTTTTAGTAAAGATGTTCAATCACGAAGTCTTAGGAGTCACCTGGAATTTGAGCCCATACTAATTTTAAGCCCTTAGAAAGTCATTTTTCAGGTGATAAATGTATTGACAAGCTCGTATGATACAATGACAACTGTTCAACAGAGCACAGAAAATTTGTTCTGAGAGTACAATCGGATATAAAATAAGCATCCTAAATGAGAGTGTATCTAAGAATGGATGTCATGAGAAGTTTATCAGTGAATATTCTAAAGAAATGAGAGTCATTAAAAACTATCCAAACAATCTCAAAGAAAGCTGCATGTATCAGAGGAGATGATGTACACGAAGTAGTTGATAAACAGACTTCACAAAGCATTATTAGGAGAAATTGTACTACTGCAAAGCTTGTGTATCTTAACACTACCAAGTAGCTGCTTCAACAATCTGGAAAAAGAGCGGTTGTCAATCAAAAATAAAATCTTATCCATAATGGAGTTATACTCTACCACAGTGCCCAAGTTTTATACTTATATCACTAAATTATATGTTCTAAAACGTTTTGTTAAGCCCCTGTCTTTACCCTGGCCATGGTTATGTTCTTTTATTTTATTTTTATTTTACCACTTGAATTCATTCCACTTCACTTCATCTTCGCCATCTTTACTGTTACCATCATCGTACTGTTAATTTTTTAGACAACACTTGACCTACAATTTTAAAATCTTAATACGAATTCACTTGTTTAATAACTTTTAAATACTTTGTAATTCATGATTTGTGATTATAATATACGATTATAATTGCATTTCATATTATTATTATTATTTTATGCATTCACACCTATGTTTCAATTTCCTCACCGGATATAACTTCTTAAAAACCATATATATATATACGATTGTACAGCTTGATGATAAATCGTTGAAAAGAGTCTCTTCGCTGAATCATTTGTTTTGATTTTCTATGTTTAAAAGAAACAAATTGACAACTAATCACTTTGTATTGTTAACTATTTTTTTTAAACGAAATTATGTATAAACTGATTCATTGTGTCACATTGTGAGTATAATTCACATTTGCGAAATTCATTTAAAAAAAATCAATGATCGTATTTCAGATGAAATTATGATATTGAAATATACTAACTAATCAGCCCGAGATAAGTTTACTGACTACCTAAGTGTATCGATTTTTTTTCCGACATTTTTGAACGGAATTAATGCAGAGTGATTTGTATTCAGAAAGAATGAAAGTTATCAGTTTAAAAGTGGATAGTATATTGTCTAACCTGATAGACATCTTAAAAGAAACTTGATTTAGCCTATTGATTTCATTCAAAATGACTCAGAATAGAAAGTCAAGGAAAATATTGAAAAAAAAATGGAAACTGAGGTAGCAAAAGCACTTCTAAACAAACCAGAAACAAATCAAACCCCTATAAACGAACTCATTAAAATTAATCTGATGTTCGCTAGTGACTGACTGGCTACAAGAAGAATTTGCCTGTAGTTCTAGTAAGACGTGTGAGATCACTGGGGGGGCACTGGGTAGGGAATACTCGCCAGCAATAACACTGACTGGTGCCAGTCGCGTTAAAATCATGAATTAGGCTGGCCACTGAGTTAAGTCCCAGTGGCTGAATGGTCTACGGGCTTGACTTGTAACTGGAAGGTCCTGGGTGGGTCGAACCCCTCCCTGCGGTAGGTAGGTGCATACTGCCGATGAATCTCAAACTACGGCAAAACAGACATCCAGTACTTTATGCTGGTTTTCAGTGGCTCTCTAATGTATGTCAATCCCTGATGAAACTTGATACAGACAGTCTCTACTTGCAGTAGCTCATTGGTTTAGGTGACGGTTGTCATGGCTACCATGATATTCGTCTTACTTTCTGTCACTGTCTCTATACACATAACAATTTATATTTGTTAAGTTAAATATAGTCATCATATGGTGTCGCTAGGGTGGGAGAGAGAGAGAGGGAGAGTAACAAGTTCATATAAACCTTCCACTACATTTTCAAATCCAAAAAAATCTATGCCTTATTGTTATAGAGTTAAAGGCAATCTGTAGGAAGTTCAGTTTAACGAAAGTTGTGTGTTTGTTGGTACTCCCTAGCAAAGAGTATTTGCGTGCTTAGAGGAACTCATAGATGCATACTGCATTAGTAACTTTTCCAACTTATAGATATTCATAGGAAATTATAATGTAACACGGCTTATTCATTCACAATTACACTGATTCAAAAGTTTCGTATAATTAATATTGAAACATAAGTTATCATCACTCTTCCAAGAAAAATATTTTTATCAGTTTGAGATTAGAGAGAGAATTGGTGTCAGTAATGTATAAATGGACAACAAAGACACAAGTTACAAGAGATTTGATTTGTCAATTAATGATACATTAAACTCTTTCAGTAAAATATTAGGCGAGTCAAGGACATCGTTAGTCACAGCACAAGTGAACTCTCTCTTACAATGTATGCGTCTTTTTAGATGTCAACACGGTTCTACTTTATTCATAACAAAAGGAAAAAAATATTTCCATCATAAATAAAAGTAAAGTTGTCACTAAAACTGAATTACTTCAAACACTTATAATTCAATACGTATGCTTTTTTTTTAGAATTTGTTACTTGTAAATATTTGTTAACATTTTACTTTACCTTCTACAGATCAGTACGTATCCTTTTATTAATATACATTCAATTAATTTAGGCACTTCTCATCTAAGTGATAATGAATGCCTGAGTAATTTAAAAATAATAACTAATCATATGAATATAATGCCTAATGTTCCTTTGCAACATAAATAAGACTGAAAAGAATAGAATTCCAAAATTCTAAAATTTATGTATTTAGGTTGTGAATACTAACATTCAGAAAACACACATAGTTTATAGCCATAGCATATGGAAAAGAGTTCACAACCTACTTAGATAACCAGTGAAATTTTTATAAATTTTCTAGTTCGTCTCCAGTTACTGATTTCACTGTCTCGAATTTCTTAGGCTGAAGATGAGAAGAAAAATTTTTCTCTTTCTCAGGGTAAAATACTGGGACAGTTAAACAAATGAAGTATTTCTTCTCAGAACACAGATGAACTCCCCATTGTCCAGAACTATAGTCCACTGATATACATCGATGTTCACCAACAAGCATTGATGTCAATTCTGGGTTGGGTAAACGTAAAAGACTGAAGTCACTTTTGCTACCATCAGTCCAGTGAAGAACGTAAATGGACCTTAGGAACTCATTCATTGTTTTAGTGACCTGTCCACCAATCCAAAAAGAGTTCTTTTCCTTTTGTGATACCCATTTTATGATGGCAGCATTTTCTGGATAAGAATGTATGGATGCAAGGCTGGATTGTAGAACTAATCCACCATCCTTAGTCTTTGATAATGCGTGTGCAGACAGATGATCTGAACTTTTTACATCAATAAAGCTGACCTGATCAGCATAGTCTGAATTCTTTCCAATAGAATTTCTGCAGTAGTCCTCAGCAGAAGAAAAATTAAGTTTGGCTGCTTCATCTCCATGAACAAAGGTAAAGATTCGAGGACCTAGAGCACCTCGACTTTGCTCAATAGCATAGGTAACTTGTAGAAAAATAAGAACTCCTGATAAGTGCACAAACATCGTCTGCTAACAAGTGAACAATGGGCGAAAATGTAGTGAGCATCGCTCACCGTAAATATTCTAGAAATAAAGCAACCATAAATTTTCACTTAATTTTAGAAAAGAGTCATAAAAATATTTATCTCTATCTAGACGGCAATACTAATTCTGTATTTGTCCAAACTAATGCATGACCTTAGCATTTCGCGGCACTTCAAAATCCTACAACACTACACTAAATGGGTTCCAGTAGTAGTAGCCTTGTCGATGTTTCTAAGGATAAACCACTACAAAAGTTTGTTGGACCAGAAGAGTTACCACCAAACAGTGAATTTTGGAATGATTTTTTATCTTCCTTTGGCTCATCAAAAAATAACAGGTTTGTCATTGTCTTACTGGGTTTTGATCAAATTGTTCTTATCAGTGCCTTTATGAACTTCGAAGAGACTAGTAGAAGTCTCTTAAGGGATCTTAAAAAGAACAACCCTCAATCACATAACATTCCCAATTTAATCCAGTTCCTCATATCACAGATGTCAGAACTAATGGGCTCCACCAATATGTAAGTTTTACCTAAAAACTATATGTTTCGTAGATGCGAGGATACTATTTTAACTGTTCAAAATGGGCTTCTTATTCTACGACTTTCAGTAAAATACCTGATGGAGCACACTTCTGAAGCTAGGTTTTTTGCTCATTTCTCTGTAACTTCACCAGAAGGTAATACCACTCTTACTTACCTTTCATGCTGCAGATCCGCATTGTCTATCTGTTATTGAATGTCTGTTTCCTGTTCTTTTCAAGCTTGTAACTAACTTACCCATACAGTAATTTCATTTCGAAACTTAACCTTTCTTTCAGGGACAATACCTACTTATTGCATTGTGAAGCTCACCTCCTGTGTATAGTTTTACTTTCTCGTCAAATGTATAAGGAACTATCGGCTCCCTTGCCACAAGTTTATGTTTCTGTTGTATGGGGAAAGTGGTAAGTTCAAGAAGTCATTTCCTGTATCAATATTTGGAAATTGTTATCCACATCTTTGGAATGATGTCGATCTTCATGTCTGTATACACTGAAGGTGTATAATTTTCAGTTGCCCTTTTCTTTGATATTTTACCCTTAAGATTCAGGTCATGTTTTATATTTTCAAGCACTCAGTTTATGCTATTCAATGAAACCAATGCTTTTTTTGTGTAATAGCATGTGTGTCTACCTCATGGGATAAAAGCAATACTTTTAGGTTAACCCTATTAACTAATCTAGAGAAGCAGTAGTTGTGATTGTCTGAAAACCTCTTCATCAGTTTACCTTATTAGCTATAGATTCCATACCTGAAGTTATAACAGCAGACGATGGAATACTAGTTGCTGTCAAGTTATGCATGTAGAGCCACCAGCTTCCTAGATGGGGAATATTAGTTGGTATAGGTTTAGGTTAGAAAAGAGTCAGTGGTGGCTTAACTAAAACCTGGTGTTGACCCATGAATTCTTTGACAGTTGGTCTTACCTATGTAAGGAGATGAAGACTCCCTTGTTGAATCTCTCGGCATGCTGATAGCCATTATTGATATAAGTATAAAACTTGGGCACTGTGGTAGAGTATAATTCCATAATGGATAAGATTTTATTTTGATAAATCACACAGTGTAGTACAGTTATATTAACTGATGACGTTTCGAGCACAAACTATTGCTCATAATCATATCAACTTGATATGATTATGAGCAATAGTTTGTGCTCGAAACGTCATCAGTTAATATAACTGTACTACACTGTGTGATTTATCAAAATAAAATCTTATCCATTATGGAATGCTGATAGCCAGTAGATGAAAACTATTAGTGATGTGGTATTAGAATGTTCTCGATGGAACATATGCATTCATTCTTTTTAGTATCCGATATTCATTGAAACATCTTATTTTTTCATGATACTATTCTTTCTCCCGTACATTTCCGTTCCATATGGTGGTTTTGGATCTTATTTCTCTTTTCTCTACCTTTGTGCGCTACATGAAGAGTGGCAAGTTGAACTGGCTCACGACTGTGCAAAGTTCTGTGTTGAAACTCAAACAGTCATCAGGTTATGCACAAAAGGGCATCATCTCAATTCGTAACTTTTGCAGATTGTGACAACTTAGGGACTTCGTTCACTCTTTTTCTGTGGGGAACTGAGTAGAAGTTCGTTTTGCCTTAATTTGTAGTTCGATCGTAGTCACCAAAGTTACAATATATAAGAACACTGCAACTTTTTGTCCATGGGTGTCTTCGTAGCCTTATTTACGCAGTGGGACTGAAACAAACTGTTGATATAGCTCTTATCATTAGGTAACAGAGTGAAATTTGTTGAAGTATTGAGTCTGTATGCATTAAATTTCCCGTGAAGTAATTTTAGGAGCTTCCAGGCACTAACTCCATTAGTTTTCCATTCTAAAGCAAATGCATTTATTGTAGTTTTCTTTGCTCATTTTACTTCGTGTGAGTGACAAATCGAGAATGTTTGGGATGTCTTGTCATATCATTAATGTAAGCTTACTTTGAGATCTGTTGGCAGCTGCAACAACAACCCACCAGCATAGAAGATTGCAGAAATGTGCTACAGCTCTAGTTGTTTTTTATTATTTTTTTTCCTTCACGTTCCCCAGTGGAGCATAGGGCTTCAAGCTAGTGGCTTGAAATTTCTGTAGCAGTGTTTATTTTACAGGATGGGGTTGCTAGCCTCATGCCCAACCTTTCCTCTTCACCAGCATTATTTCTGGTTTAGCGAGGTAAAAGGGTGCGTCGGCCGAGGATCGAACCCCGGACCATGTGCATGGTCGGCGAGTCTACTAACCGCTATGCTACTAGTGCGTTGGTGGCATAGCGGTTAGAACACACTAGCTCTAGTTGTTACACTTCGAAAATGCATATGAAATTGGAGATTAACATAATGTTAGTGCAACAGACAAACAGTCTGATTAATGGAAGGTATAAACAGTGACTAGTGAAGGTTCGCTTCATTGTGAATGATTTTAAGTTGTGTTATCCACATTTTGCAACCACTTATTCTTATTACTATGCTGGAAACCCTGGCCAGTCAGTCTACACTGTTCTGCATGATTCAGACTAACAGTTACTTGTATTAGTCTAAGCGTTTGAACAGCATCCGTCTTCACACAATAATGAACAATTCAACGGGGAGTTCAGTTCACCTATGTACTCTGTCTACTTATGTCATCTTCTGTTTCATAAACAACGCACTAGCAAACATTCAATTCATTATCCCTGTATCCTTTTTCTCTACATGGATTGTTTTTTCATCCTCCTTACTACTTGTACTTTCATCAACTAGCAGTTATTGCTTGAGACTTATCAATACTGTTTTGGGTCACAAAGTGTCCGCTTCAACAAACCTGTCATCTATTGTGATGTCAAACAAGTTACTTACAACTCTAGCATTGATACAAGTTGGGCAATAAATACATCTGATCAAAGCCTTGGAAAGCCAAAATCTTGATATTTATATTGTATCTCTGACACACACAGAGAAGTGCTTGCTTTAAGGTTAACCTGTTAGAGATGTACATTTTGACTGCATCCCATTTAACAGTTGTTCTGGTGCTGTTGAGCTGGATAAGGATATAGTGGAAAGCAACTGAAAAGAGAGACATTCTTTTGTTATCTCTTTCTACGCATCAGATTGCAGTGTAGGCGCAATTAAGGATGGGTTCTACCATCACCTGAATAACCATATCCAAGCGCTCTGACTAGATATCGTTAGTTGTTGAATTGAGCATCTAAGCTAAGGAGACAGGTGTTCAGACACTCGTCAAGAACTAGGCAGTTATAGGTTATAGTTTCTATATCTCTGCTTATAACACAGTTCATTCCTTGCCAGCATAAACTTCTGGCAGGATCATCCTCTTTATACTATATACTATCTGTCATGTAGTCTCATATAGATTACATGACAATGTGTCGTTTTTGGGCAGTTATTGGGATAATATGAAGTTCTGGAGGGCAGGAAATACACTGCTGAACTATAAATCCAATTCACAGATTACTCTTTTTGACTTAATGTCCATGTAATAAAATGCAAGGACTATGATACCTGCTGATATGCATTAATATTCTCTCTTTATGAAGCCATTAACTGTAGTCCTTCAGTTGTATACATATGGGCTAGTAACTTCACTGTTCAAGTAGCAAGTATCGGTATAACTTAGCGTCGGTGGAGACTATCATGGTAACATGTCTCACTATAGTGTTATAGTCCTTCCTGGGTAAACATTATCGCCACAAGGAGTGGAATTACGGTACTGGAATCCAAGTTGTCATATGTATCCACACATCAAATGGAAGGTGAAATAAAAGTAAAACAAACTAAATTAGGCAATCGAAGATTTCAGATCTCCATAAAGCCTGTAAAGAAAAGTTAAAGCGAATAAGGAGTTGTATCAGTACACGTAAAGATAAAGGCTAACTATGCATACATCTCCCCTACTGCTGTAGATTCTTATTTATATCAACTAAATCTTTTTTTAGCTGCAAATCTTTGTCGCATTTATCTAAGTTAAACAGAATTTCTTCTTGGTTGTTCACACCAGTATTTTGGATAGATCAGAATCGGGAAACGGCACTCTATGCTGTTATTTGAGTTTTACTTAGAACAGATCTTTTATGTACTATGATAAGAACCACACTTATCGTATGAGGGCTGGTGTTAATACCCAGTTGCGTAGGCTGAACTGGGTGAATCGAGACTGGAGGGCGTAATCCCATAGGCTGAAAACCAAGTCCTTATGTCAATGGTTCACGTCTATATCATTGGTGTGATTAGCCTAATGGCTTTTTAATCCCACTGTTATTATTATTATTATTGTTTTTAATACATTTTTCAGTGCTTCTTTGGCTCCTGCATTAGTTTGCCGTTTACTGTCCAACTTTGCTGAGAATCGTCCTGTCCCACCACATTTACATGGTATTGAACAGTACAGTTTAATATGGCGGGCTGCATCATCTGTTGCAGGTAAGAATGTTTCATTACATATTTTCTCAGTGCAGTTGAATTACATACAAGTTTAATACAAACGGACTAAGTATTATTATTATTATTGTTTCCTTTGGTTCCTAGAGGAACCATGGGGCCTCAGCTGCACGTCTCTATTGTGTTCGGTTGTCTGCCAATGTTTTCACCTGGCTCCACGTCCACCTATCCATATGCTTTCATCTCCTCTTCACATGACCTCCTCCAAGTCACCCTTGCACTGACGACCAACTCGCCACTTCCCGTTCGGATTCCACTCGAGTGATGGCCTGTCTAGTGATGTCACTTGATGGTTTCTTCAGAGTATAGCCAGCCAATCCACCTCCATTTCTTCCTGCTTATTTGTTGCTCAATCATCATACTGCGTTGTTTTTTTCAAAATAACTGTCAGACACATAGCCCATTATTTAATTTTCGCACCGTACCTATATGTAGACCTGGCGGTTCATGTATATAATACGGAGGTGGAAATATGTTATTATCCATCCGGCTTATGATCTTTAATTGTAAGTAGCGTTGATTAGTAAGTCTGTTGTTATAAGAACTGTAAAGAAAAAACAATAACAATTAGTTTATGATATACTCCACATTAGTTAGAACTGAGTTACTCAGAATAGATTTCGCACATCACCAGCCAGCCAGCTATTACTATTGACATTCATTTCTCGCGTTCCCAGTAGAAAATAAGACTTTAGCAGCACATCTCCATTCCACCTTACTCTCTGAAATTCTTTTAAATCTGGCTCTATTATAGCCCAAAGCCTTTCATTTTCTCTTCGTATGATTTTCCTCATGTCACTGTCGGACGTTGAACTCGTCACTCCTTCCCGTTCGGGTTTCACTAGAGGGCTTATCCGGCGTATGATGTTAATTGGTCTCCGTCTCCACTTTTGATTCTGCATATTTCCTGGGCGATGGGTTGTTGGTTGGTTCCCTGCCAGAGTTCCTTATTAGTTAATCTGTCCATCTGATGTTCAATATCGCACCAAAGAAGGCACTTATTGGTGAAAGTCTTTACTAACCTGTTGGAAATGCCTCAGATGATGCATGGTGTGTCAACTCTCTGAACCCTGTGGAAGTACTGACTTGATACTAGTGTTGAAAATTAGGATCTTATTCGTTGTTTTTCAATACTGTAAATCTCCACACTGATTTCACAGGGATAGAGGAAACTGTCTTGCTTTTCTGATTCTGTCCTTTTTAAATATCCTTATCCATGCCACTAGCTGTATGTAGTTGAAACTCTGCTGTCTATCCTCTAGGTAAGTAGAAGAGACTACTGTAAATCTCCACACTGATTTCAGAGTGATGGAGGAAACTGTCTTGCTTTTCTGATTCTGTCCTTTTTAAATATCCTTATCCATGCCAGCAGCCCTGCAGTTGAAACTAGGCTGCCTATCCACCAGGTAAGTGGAAGAGACGACATACCTTAGCTTAATTCCACTGATGGTGATTGGTGTTTGTTGTTGGATAAGTGTTTTCATCATCACCTCTATCTGCTTTATGTCCGCTTAAGGTCCTGTCTTCTGCTAAGATGTTGGTTTCCCGCCTGTCGATCTTCGAGTTTCTGTGAAATCAGGCGTAAATGTCATCCTTAAAGCCAAAATGTTCTAGTGTCTTTTTTTTGTCAGTCCAACGTATGCCTGTCTTTTCACTCCCCCCACCATATCTACTGCATGATTCAGTCAACCAATAATCAGGAATATCATGGGTGTGATCATTGTGTTCTCCAGCTGCCTAGGTTGAAGTAGGCGTAGTAGGTTTTTGAGACTTGAGACTTTAAGTACTAAGGTCAATGTACTGCATATGCGCATGACAGCCTCAGGATGGTCGAGGGTGGGTGCCTTGCGCTGCGGGTTGGCCAACCCTCCGCACACCTCTTGAAATGCTCCCATATAACCGGGCGTCTTACATAGCCTCTCCTGAGGAAGTCCTACTCACTGCCTTCACGTGGCGAAGGTGTTTTTCACCAAAGTGAGAGGGCGAAAGCGGATGCCCGGCGCTCTTCATCGGGTTGACTGTCCATTGGATGACAGTCTAGGGGAGATGACTAAACCCTGATTCCAAACCTCCAACGACTGGCGTATGAAGCTCACTGGAGCTCACCGGCAGACGTATGGACAAAGGGCTTGTTAGATGTCCTGGATGTCTGGCCCCATTCAAAAAGGTGTATGAACCGAACTCCGGTCACCGGTTGCCAATGGATAGTGGACTCCCTACTCCACTCCTACTGCCTTGTAGGTCACACTTGGTTGTGTAAAGGCTAGAGCTGCACTCTCAAACAAAAGGCCGAGCGATTCTGGGGACATCACTCGTACCAAATTCCCATGAAACTTCATGAACTCTCTTACGGACTCCGTCTGTGGAACAAGAATTGGATAACCCTGTCGCAAAACCTTGCATCAGATCGCCGTGCCTGGGCAGCGATGATTCGTGATTCGAAATGTTCATGAAGCCGGCTCATCCTCCCGTAGGAGATAGCCGAAGTAAAGTAAAGTAAGTAAGTAAGTATTTAATAATAATAATCATCATCATCATCATCAAATTTACGTTTTTCTTTTTTTCTTTTCTTATTTTAGGCGGTCTACTATCGATTGTCACACTTGGCGGCTTCTTAAGTCGTGGCACTGCTAATTCTACTACAACAACAACAACAACAAAATCTGATACACTGGATACTCCTCAAGTGACAATTGTTGAAGCAGTAAAAGCTACCTCAGCTGTTGATCTTGTAACCTCTGAATCAAATACTAAATCTGTTGACCAGTGTCATTTATTAGCTAATGTCAGTTCATTACTATTATTAGTACTTACAACACAGGCTGGATCAATTGAAAAGTCTATTTCAACTTATCCTGATCTTGGTCTGAAAGATTCTAACCCTCTAGGTAGAAATCCCTATCGAAACACCCTGTTCACTTTACAAGATGAAACTGTGCAAAAGCATCAAGCAGAATCGATAATGGTGGATTCAACTCATGTACTGCCTAAGTCAAGTTAGTTTTTTTTTACAAAGACGTTTTCTTTGAGTTGTCAGGATCTCGTTCACTGGTTTAATGTGATTTGTGTATCATGGATTGTTAAAATGTGTGGGTGTACTGTTTTGTTTTTTTGTCGGGATGGTCGAGTGGTCTATTATTATTATTCCCTTGGGTTCCTAGTGGAATATAGGGCTTCAACTGCACGTCTACACTTGCTTCTGTCTTCTGTTGTACTTTTCACCTGCATCTATGTTACTCCATACTGTTTCAACTCTTCTTCACACGATCTCCTCCATGTCACCCTTGGACGTCCCACTCGCCACTTCCCTTTCGGGTTCCACTCGAGCTATGGCCTGACGCGCGATGTCACCCCGCAGTGGCCTCCTCAGCTCAGCGAGTGTCCAATCCATCTCCACTTTCTCCTGCATATTTGTTGAGTGATTGGTTCTTGTTTTGTTTGTTCCCATAGTTTCTTGTTGGTTCTTGTTCTTTCCGGCCATCTGATCTTCAGTATAGAGCCAGCGAAGACAGTTAGTTGTTGATAAAGGTCTGCAACAGGCTGTTGGAAATATTCTTTGTGACCCGCTGTCAAGTTTCTGATCCGTATAGAAGAACTGACTGACTTGACGTTTGTATTGAAAATCCGAATCACTTTGTTGTTGATGCAGGCTGAGTGAGTGACGAGGATTTCCAGATTGGTTGTTTCAGGTTGATGAATGTGTTTCTCGCCTTCCCGCTTCTCGATTTGACATCCTCGTGCGTTTCACCTGCCTGTAGTTGAGAGAATGCTCCCTAGATAAGTGAATGAAGTAACCTCTTTCAAATCCCTCCCGTTGATGGTGATTGGCGGTGGATGTTGCTGCTGCTGTTGTTGTTGGTTGGTTGGTTGGTTGGTTATTTTCATAACCTCCGTCTTGTCTATGTTCACCTGGAGTATTGTCTTCGCTGGCTGCTTCTTCGACCAGTTTGTCGGTTTTCGCTTGTAAGTCTTCGATTTTGTGTGACATCAAACATAAATCATCCACGCGCGAAATCCAGGTCTTCTAGGTTGTTCACGTCGGACCAGGATATCCCTGTCTTCTCGTTTCCCACTGTTCGTCTGACGCATAATCCAGTCCACGACAATTAGGAATATCATATGTGATAATAAGCACCCTTGTCTGACTCCTGTATATACTGCAAATGCCTTGCTGAGTTTTCTGTTGTGGATCATTTGACGTGTTCCGTTGTCGTACAGCTGTTGGATAAGGTTGACGAATATTTGGGGTACGCCGTAGTACTCGAGTAGTTTGCAAATTACTTCGCGGTCAACGCTATCGAAGGCCTTCTCAAAGTCTATGAAGTTGAGGTAGAGGTTTGATTGCCATTCCATGCTTTGTTCGATGATGATGAATAGAGTTGCGATTTGGTCAGAACACGATTTACCTTTCCTGAATCCAGCTTGTTCTGGTCGGAGTTCTGCATCGGTCGAGTGGTCTAAGACTTCGAAATCGCTCGACAACACTAATGAAGTCTACTGTCCTCATTAAAGGGTAAACAGTAGACAATCAGTTGGTATGTCGGTAGGGCGACGGCGGTAGAATGCTTGGCAGCTATGCACATGATCCGGGTTTCTATCCCCAATCGACGTACTCCTAAAACCTAGATTAACCGGTAGTAAACCGGGTAAAGGTTGGGCTTGAGACTGGCAACCCCACCCGTCGGCGGAAGGAGAATAACACCAATGTTACTGAAACTTCAAAAGTCAAAGCTTGAAGCCCTATGTTCCACTCGGAACGCAAAAGAATAAACAAAATCATTTGGTTGTTAGGCGGCTATGTGTTGTACCTGAGGGGGAGTATCAATTCTTTGGCAGGTAGCCATAATAACTCACTGAATCAGACCACTTTACTCATGTAGAACAAGAAAACTTAACATATGGCTAATATTATTGTTATTATTATTTCCTATAATTTCTAGAGGAACATAGGGCTTCAGCCACACGTCTCCATTGCATTAGGTTCTCTGCCAACGTTTTCACCTGGCTCCACGTTTGCCCACATGCTTTCATCTCCTCTTCACATCACCTGCTCCGTGTCACCCTCGCACTGACGACCAACTCGCCACTTTCCGCTCGGGTTCCACTCGAGTGATGACCTGGCCTGTGTTGTGATGTTGTGTGATGGTTTATTTTCTCAGAGGATGGCCATCCAATCCACCTGCATATTTGTTTCACTATCGGTTCCTGCTGTGTTGGTTCGCTCATTGCCAGAGATCTCTGTTGTTGATCTTTCCTGGCCGGCCATCTGATCTTGAGCGGAGTATTGAGCAAAGATAACTGTTGATGAAGGTTTGTAGTTTCTTCGAGGTGCCCTTCGTAAGGCGGTGCGGCGTCGTCTCTGATCCGTATAGTAGCACTGATTTCACATTGGAGTTGAAAATCCGGATGTTATTTTTTCATACTGAGCAGTGTTGTTGACCTCCACACAGACTTAAGAGAAATGAAAGCTTGCCTTGATTTCCCGATGATCCTCGCTGCTTTGATGTCGTCATCAATTCCGTCCGCCTGTAGTTGAAACAATGCTTCCCAGGTAGGTAGGTAGGTAAAGTAAGTTGCTTCTTTCAGATTTCTCTCATTTTGGTGTGTAGTTTTTCCAAACAGCAGTTGCAAAAGGTAACTTAATAAGTAGACTCAAACGTCGCCTTTTCAATTCTAAAGTCATCTATGAAGTCGGTTAACAAGTATGTCTGTTGTTTTGATATAAGAATAAAACTTGGGCACTGTGGTAAAGTGTAATTCCATTATGGGTAAATTTTATTTTGATAGAGTCTCACAGTGTTATGCAGTAATATTTACTGATGACGTTTCGAGCACAATTTATTGCTGATAATTATATCAAGTTAATCACATGACTTCCTAAATTGATTTATATAGTTCCATTGTTTTTCATTTAATTTTCACTTGATTTGATTGGTAGTATTATTTTCCATATTTCAGGTATGAGTGATGATTTATTCCTATTGCATGTGTTGGGTGTAGATTCGATGAACAAGGATTCAGTAATCAACCTCTCTCTCCACCTACCTAGATTACTCTTTAGAATTTTAACCCTCTCCCACCCTATTGTGTGCTTGTGTGTTAATGCATGCATTGCAATTGCTGAGTTTTTTTCTAAATTACTTATCTTCTCTGGGTCAACCATTCTTACCTTAGCTAAATTCTTATGTTCTGACAATCTGACTACCCTTGACCTACTAGTTTGACCTATGTAGTTGATTGTAGTTGACTTGACTCACAGTCATTGCAGGGTATTTTGTAAATTATATTATTTTGTCTAATTGGGTCAACTGGGTCCTCTAACCTACAAACCTTGTTTGTAGGTTTAAATGCCACCCTAATTCCTGCTTTATTTAGAATCCTACGTAGGGTCTCAGATGTCCCATCTTTATATGGCATAACTGCAGATGACTTGTATTCTCGCTTATTTGTGTTATCATTACTAGTTTCATAATTATTTTTATTTGGCTTTTGGCTTTTTTCGATCTTCCTAATGAATTTTAGAGGATAGTTATTTGACACCAACGCCTCTTCTATCTGTTTTATTTCATCATTTAGGTCATTTTTGTGCTACTTAGTGCCATTGCTCGGTTTGTTAAACACTTAACTAAGCCTGCCTTAACATTTTAAGGATGAGATGAATTAAAGTCTAAATATCTATTAGAATGAGTTGGTTTTCTATAAACACTATTGTGTAGTTTGCCTTCTTCTATTCGTTTTATTTTACAATCTAACATCATGGCTAATTCTCCTTGTTCATTTTCGGCTTCAAATGTGAATTTTATTCCCTCCACTAGTGAGTTTATGTATGTCAAGAAGCTAGAGAGAGATGCGTTCTGTTTTTAACACTGTGAAAGTGTCATCCACATATCTCCACCATATTTTTGGAGTAGATATGATTATGAGCAATAAATTGTGCTCGAAACGTCATCAGTAAATATTACTGTATAACACTGTGAGACTCTATCAAAATAAAATTTACCCATAATGGAATGTCTGTTGTTTATTTTTTTTTAAAGGATATCATGCGAGTTAAAAATGCAGCACCAGAAGTCTTGCATATTTTTAGCGTACTGTATGTACTCTAATTCCGATTAGGTGCTGAATATCATCCACATACTCATGCTTGTTCATTTTAATATCATTATAACAGTTCTCTTCTTTTATTTGTGTGTGTTTTTATGAAATCTGTTAGTGTGAAATGCTTCGCACCTGTGCAAATTTCTACATACAACTGTCAATTTGTTGGGTGCTGTGTGTTTATTAATCTCCGGGTTTCAAATTGTTCCCTATCTTGTGTTTTTATATACACCGGCACAGTATCACCATACGCTTATAAGACGAATCATGTGTGATTCGAGTCAGCTATATCCCTGCACTTCAGTTTAGTGTAGCTAGTCGTGACTGTCTGTCTGTCTCTCTGTTTTCGACATAGAACTTTGCACTGATGTGCGGCAGTTCAAGTCGCCACACTCCCTCCTTGTAGCACACAAAGCAACACAAGAAAGTAGGAGAAATGCATATTACAGACAGTAAACAGAGGTGTGAGACAAAGGAGTAGTAATAACGAAGAACGATCATAAGTCACAAGGAGTGGATGCATCTGCACCAGCCATTGAGAACGATTTTGAGCCATGTCACCAATTGTTTCCAACCATTGGTTTTTACCGTCCCGAGGATCCCAACCACAAAGTCTACACCTTCCTACGTGACTGGCTTAGACTAACTGTTGTAGATTTCATTGACTGGTGAAGGCATGTTTTCGTTTGACCACCGCTAGCTCTTTTCCAGCCTGGCCCTATATCAGCTAACATTTCCCGTCGAGGAAGGTGATGACTAGGCATTGATGCGTAACACATGTCCTTACCATCTCAGTCGATGTAATTTCACAGCCTCGTCGACTGATTTACCCTCCTTACCTAGCACTCGATTTCTTGACTTGAAGGCGGCCTTCGACTCCGTGGATCGAGAGGTTCTA